ATCAGTGTCACCATAGCAGTCGGCTAAGGGCTCCTGCAGGTGGCTGGGCTGCAAAGAGTTAGAAAACCTGGACAAAATACAACAGGGACATCAGGACAGGCCCTGACGACTGGGACATTCCTGCTCTTCAAGGACACAAGGTCACCTTAATGGTCCGCCCGCAAAACCTGAGAATGGCCACGCCATTGCTCTAATAGTGCAAATAAAATAATAAAATGCAGAGACACTTAGAAATGCTTCTCACTGAGCTGCACTTGAAGTATCTTTATTTACTGCCTAGTGTCCTTCTCGCTGTAAAACCCACCCTGGCCTATGTTTCAGCAAAAGATCAAACACGGTGGCGGAAAGGAAGGATTTTCTGCTACGTATGCTTTTGTACCATAAATAAAACATTCAGGGGGGAGGGGAATGGCAGGTTGACTTTTAAAAAAGAAGCTGGCTCCTAGATCTTTCATACCATTGTCCTTTAATTCCTTGGAAGGCCATGGGTCACCTGAACTGCGCACCATGGTTTTTTTCACAACATCAAGGCAGCAGCAGGAGCTATCCATCTGTCCATCTTCCTCAAACATTTCAAAGGCACCTATCACCATGATATTTAGACCTGGGACAATTAAAGGTAGCATTAAATGGGCACAAAAGGGCTCTGGTCTCTTCTTCCATTACCATCTGCCCCCCACTCCTTCCCCCCGTTCCTTTATTCTCCTCCTCCAACTGCTCTTCTCTCCCCTGTGAGACTTCTTTCTTTTCTAAGAGCGCTCAGATCCTCCTGTTTTCAAATCACAGGGTCTACTTGAGCCACAGGAGAATCACCATTCACTGTTAGCACTACAGACTCTATGACATACCACTGAGCAGTTCCAATTGCCATTCTACAGCAGTAATAGGGATACACACTGACCACTTCTTTGAGATATTCAGGAGCTTGTTGTCAGCCACAGGAACAACGGGTTTGCTGCATTATCTCGCACACAGCTGTTGTTTATGTTGCAAATGTACATCATAATATGCCATGGGGTAAGTGACTGCTGGACCCCTGCAACTTAACATTTCCTGAACCGGGCCTGGTTCTGTTCCTATTACAGACACTTGCAAAACTCCCATTGGCTTCAAAGAAAGCGGGGATCAGACTCTGGTGAATTTTAACTGTGCGCTTTGCATTGTACGCTGAGGTTTGTTCCCCTCCTCTATACATAATTTTTATCTCCTTTAAAAAGATGCAATAACAAGGGAGTGGAGAGACCTTCACAGAAGATTGTTGTGAAGAAAGCACTCCTCATCCCCAAATCCTTGAAGCGACAGACAGCGGAGGTGTGGATCAGTCAGCAAGGAGGATTATTTTCCTCCTGCCTTGCTTTATCAGAAAAGTACAACAAAGGCCACGCTGTAGCGTGCGAACGGGCGGTGGGACGCGGAGTTCTTCAAATGGAGGTCGGGCAGGGAGAGACACAACCCTGGCCCTCGAGTGGGAGAGAGAGAAGAAAACCAGCCGTGATGAGATAACAAAGGAGTTTGATGAGCTTGGAAAGTAAAATGATAGATTCAAGGCCAACCGGTTCTGAAAGAGAGGAGATTAAAGAGAGGCACAACCAGCCGCTGGGCCTACGCTATCAAGCTAATGTACTTCTCCTCATCATGGTGCTATCTGAGCACCTCACAATCTCGAATGGACCATACCCTGGGAGGCAGGGTAGTGCTATTATCCCCATTGTACAGATGGGGAACTGAGAGACAGAGAGCCGAAGGCCCAGATTCTCAAATGTATTTAGACGCCTACTTCCATTCAAGTCAATGAAAATTAGGGGCCCAAATACCTTTGAGGAGCTGGTCCTAAATGCCTTGCCCCCGGCCATATAGGAAAGCCGCAGCAGAGCCGGAACCTGAGTCCACCAGGTGGTGAGTCAGTTAATCCCTTCTTGCCCCATGCTCCCAACACATTCCTATCAGATATTCTGGGAGGAGTGGGACAGTTCAGAAAAAAACATTTAATGACTGCAGTAAAGCAGAAAGGAGGAAAAATGGTCCTCTGGGTAAGGCACCAGCTTGGGACTCCGGACAGCTGGAGTCAGTTCCTGCCTCTACCCTTTGTGTCCTGGGACAATCTTCCTGTGCCTCAGTACCGTACCTGTAAAATGGGGATAATAATGCCTCCTTTGTCTCTATCTATTCAGATTTTAAGCTCTTTGGAGCAGGGACTTAGAATGTGTCTGTACAGCACCTAACACCCAGGAACACAGATCCTGATTGGGGCCACTAGCTCGTCCTGTCACACAGATACTGAGTAACACTACAACAAGGGCAGACCCTGTGAACATTCAAGCCGCAAAAGGAGTGAGCAGGCTTCCCACGTGAGCTACTTCACTATGTTCCATTGGCTGGTGCTGCATGGGACTAATTTAACAGCAGCCATGACGTGCCATGACCTTGTTTCCCCTCCTGTGAGCAAGTCCCTACTAGTTGACACAGCTATGATAGCCAGGTAGTGGGAAGGAGTGATTTTTAGTGCTTTCTTATTTCCGTCTAGGAGCATTTTCTGTTAGAGTGATAGAAAGTCTCTCTTATCTTTAGCCAGAACAAAGCAAAGAGCTGTGAGGTCCTGGACATTGGAGATGGCTGCACTGTTTAAGACCACAAGGGAGGGCTTGGAGCCGTAAGTTTCAGGTTCAAACCACTTATGGCCTGATTTTCAGAGGCAATGAACATCCACAACTTTCACTGAAGTCAATGGGAGCTCCAGGCAGTGATGGACATTGGTCCAGCTCTGACACAGAGAATGAGATTTTCTCCTTTAATGGGGTAGTTGGCTGTGGAAAGAATAAAATGAAGCCTGCATAATTTAAACCCATTTCCTAGCCCCTGGCCTATTTAATGCATGTTAACAATAAGCTTCAGGAATAAGACCAGATAACACTTTTGAGTCACGGCGGATGCTCATTACTGCAGTATCTGGGCGCCCCAGGTGACAAGTTATGCATTCAATAAAATCTTTCCCACTGTTATTAATAATGCCAGAAGATAATAATAAAAAAAAAACTTTAAACCTCACTGTAATTTTTCCCCTTGATGTTGTTTCACTCTTTGCACTTCACTCAATTTGGGCTGGGTTAGTCAAGTCCACTTTTTTCCTATTTATAGTCAGTTTCAGGTTTTCGTGCAGCTGTTTCCAATATGGCTGAGATGTATAAATAAAAAACAAACAAACAATCTCTCCTCTCTGCATCTCAAAAATCCCTGTCCTCATTGATTTTTTTTAAATCCCCTATTCTGTTTTGTAAATTTCCCATCCCATCAATTTTGTATTTTACAAACATTTTAAGATTTGAGCCCAAACCACCCAATTAAAAGGTTGTCTTTGTAATTTCCATGACGAATAACACTTTAAAGAAAGGAATCCCCTGCACGGGAATACATCTATTTAATAAGAAGTAGCCACACTGCACTGAGTTGATGCCGACTCAAATTCAATCTTTTTTTTTCTTAGTTCATTTGGAAGTTAGTTATGCAGATACTGCATTCGTGGCATGAAACAGCGTGCTTTCCGCTGCTGAGGGTGAGGAAATCTTGCCATCTGGTGGAAGGAAATGCAAACACAGTGCAGTAGCTGGGGAGGAGAGGCAAACACAGACCCATGTGTTGTTATATCTGAAGGGCCAAAAAAATAAAATAAAAAAAAACTAGGAGGAAATATTCCCATCTCAGATTCCTGGAGACAACCTGTATGAGTCAAGCTTTCCTCCCAGGGTTTACAAGCTCGCTGGGAAACAGTGTGTAGTTGTAGGTGACCAGATGGCTATAGCAAGGAGGAACTATGATCAGGAGTTCTGGCCTTAACTCAGCAAGGCACTTAAGCATGTGCTTAACTTTAAGCATGTGAGTAGTCCCATTGACTGTCAAGAGCACTACCCTCCCATGCTTAACTTTAAGCACACACTTAGGCCCCGCGTTCATAGCTCTGCCACTGATGCACCGTCACAATCTCTCCAGCTAGTCGCAGTTAACCACTTTGTGCTTCATCTGGACAAGGGGGATAATACCTACCTGTTGTGCGGCTTGAAAAGTGCTTTGAGATCTACAGATGAAAGACAAGTAAAGCACATTAATTATGATTATTATTATTTATTATCAACTCTTTAAGGCCAAACTTTCTGCTGAACAACTGACAGCCATGACCATCACATTCCCCCTTTTGTTGGTGGAGTTACAGATTTCACGTTGCACCCCTTCGTCTTGCTTTTATAGATTTTATTACTGAGGATTTTGAACAGCTGTCAATACAGTACAAAGTTTTCAGTGGTCTCAACGATACAAAGTTGGGGGACAAACGGGGATAGTTGGTGCATAATACTCCCACCCCTCCCACACTCCCAAAGAAAAAAATGCAAAACTCACTACTCATGTTTAGTAGGAAGCAATGCTTTTAAAACCCAGCCAGCACGAGATGTAAATACCAAGGCACATGTGTAGCCTGAAGCATGCACCCCTGTTCTGCTACATGAAGCACTCAAAGTAAATTCATGGTTAACTGACCCACTCTGCCTTCACCCTCAATACCAAGGCAGCTCTCTTGGTAAAAAATCAACCAGTATGTGCAATCATGAGGCTGCAGATGGTAAAGATGCTGCTTCTAACCTGCTCATTCCCAATGAGCAAGTCTGAAGAGTGAGCAGCGTAATATATGCTGGACCAGATCCTCAGCTGGTGTTAATCAGCATAGTTCCAGTGAGAAACACTGATCCACACCTGTTAAAGACTTGGCCCTTGGTCTCCACCTGAGGGTCATGTCCCCCCAAGGAGGTTTGTGACCCCGTTTCCCATGGCCAACCTGCTGAAGCGGACGTACTCAACCTCTTGCGCCCAGGTCATCATCAGATACCCTACGAACCATTGCATCAGTTCTGGCTGAGCTTCTTGTGGGGGGACCCAGACCCGGCGCAAAGGACTCTAGGAGCGGGAGGTTGCAAGTGGCCGCGTGGGAGCTGTGGCAGGAGTAACAGGCTGACAGCCGAACATGACGGCATTTACGTCCTCTTAGGACCAACCCTCAGTGAAGTCAAAGGCAAGACTCGATGACTTCATTGGGTTTAGAGTAGCACTGTTAGCGTCCTGCTGGTTCCTAGCCAGCCCAGGAGTGCACACATACAAGGTCCGCATGAGCAATCTCCAGCCAGCTGTGTAAGGCACGAGTACAAGACAACTTGGGAAGAGGGAGGGTTTGACAAGACTGGCTCTCTCACTGGGAGACGGCAGGGATGGCACTAACTCCAGTGTTGACGAAGCACCCTGTGTCCTTAGGACGTTATCTGAAAAGCAGCGTTGGTCAGTACTTCCCTGCAAAGTCAGCCCCATCATTCCCCGAGGAGGTCAGTCACTGGTCTCATTTGCAGGGGTGAATGGGGGTAACCTCTCAGACCGAGAGTTAACATGGGAACACTGAAAAAAACAACCGGGGAGGAAAGGTAACAGGAAAAAATAAGTTGCTTTGTGACACCAGTAGGTGGCGATATAGTGTCACGGAAAGCATCAGGCTCAGTCCTTCCATTAAGAGCGATGCACATTCTTGTCCTCTGTGGTTTGCAAACACTTGCACGGAGATGGCATGGGTTGGTGTATCCTCCTCTGTGGGGACACAGTGTGCAGTCTAGTTTAAATCCTTTAGAGGAGCTAACGCTTGGTCTACACAAAGATTTCGTACCACCATAACAAAGTATTTAGGGTAGGGATGTTATAGTTATACTGGTACAACTTCTAATGTAGATGCAGTTATATTGTACAAAGGTGCCTTATACCAGAATACTTTATTCCCTTCCCTATACAGAAACACATTCACACCACTATAATTGCATCCACACTAGAGGGCTTGTACTGCTTTAACCCAATGCAATTACAGTGGTTCAACTTTAGAGTGTGAACAAGGCGAAAGAAGAAAATCCGCTCTGATGGACTCTTCACCAAAACTGACAAGAGACCAACAAGTAATTTTACAAAGGCCCCTGACCAGCTCTCTCATATAAACATCTTTTTATCGTTACCAACCTGGGCTGAATTTGAATCAGGAACGCAGAGTTCACAGCCTCTGTATCCTATTAGCATAATCCCCCTTGAGCCAATCCCTTCCCCCCCACTTCCATAAAGGTATTTCACTTGTCATTAAGGCCAGTAGTTTCAGATTAGGGTGCCCAGATGTAGGCACTTATCTACAGAAAGGCACCTAAATTAGTGGCTTGGTTTTCAAAGAGTCCAGGCATCGGTAGCTGCCATTGTCTACTGCTCCCCTCCACCAGCGAACCATTTCCCTCCCTGACTGACCTTCACCCTGCAAAAGGGTTTGCTAATATCAAAGCAAAACGGAGCCCTTCTGGGAGTTGTAACACACACAGAGTTCAAAAATCCCCCAAACCAGACCAAACACTAAAGCTCAGGCTTGTAGTGACTGACCTTCGGTCACATCTCTAAGCCTCACTTCCAAGGTCAGTTTCAACTCACTCAAGTAATCCAGTTTTGCTTGGATTTGATGGGCCAGATCCTCTGCTGGAGTAAATCAGCGCAGCTCCACTGAAGTCAATGGGGATTTACACCAGGTGATGATCAGACCATTTGGGTGTGAAGATATTGCACAAGACACATGGGTAGTGCAGTGGTATAATCTACTACAAGGGAACTGGGATTTAACACTGGGAGAGGACAGAATGGACAAGACAAGTGCTTACCAGTTAGGCCTGTGAGGACTGTACTTAGTCGGAGCCTCCTAGACAGTTGATGTAAGCGCCATTGACTTCAGTGCAGTCATTCCAATTCACACCAGCTGGAGATCCGGCTCATAGCCTCCAATCGCCCACTCAAGTAGACAAAGAAGGGACTTATCCAATTGGCGAATTCGTTCTAAGCAACCCAAAACCTTTGTCATTCATTTGGGACGGTAGAAGGGACTGACCCATAACCATCAGATTGAAATATTCAACGGTCTGCTACCCTCATTTCCATATTACAGGAGGGCTATACTACAGTGTCAGGGTTACGCACTGCCCTAGAGCCATATGATCCGCTGACAGCTCGCTCCCGCAGCAGAGGGCAAAGGCCTATTACACCATCCAGTCCATTCCTCTGCCAGGGTGGGATTGTTCCTTATGGTACGTCCACTCCACTGGCATCAGCAGGAGTCGAATACTCAACAGAAATCTGCAGTGCAAATGGAAGAAGAATTTTGCTCTGAGTACAACAGACATTTGGGGACATCAGGCGGGATCATCGAAGGGAGAACGAGTGTACGTTTTGCTTCTCCCCTCCCCCCCATTTTTTCTCCAGTGATTACGTTTTAATCTCTAACGTTATTTAGCATTGATGAAAGGTGGCAGACTAACATCCTGGAAGACCTCTGTTTACCCTCATAAGTACAACACCGGCTATAGCAAGTGCCAGCAAATGCCCCATCAAAGAGCACTGCTCCTGGCCGGAAGGGGACTGTCCCTACAATGAAGGGTCTTTGTTCTCTTTGCTCCACCAGTAACTGAGCTACGAGCGTAAACTCATTTGATGCAGGCCACCAAACAGTCACCGGCATCACTGCCGACCCAGGCTGGATTCAAACAACAGATCTACTAGGGAAAGGCTCCATATCCCATTAGCAGCCCCTGAGAGAGTCCGCCTCGTTGTTTTAAATGTTCATGAGCAGCCCTGGTACTGAATTTCTATAAACACCCCTGGTGAAATCTCCCCGTGACAGAAGAGGGAATTTCGCTCACGTCACCACTGGGTCAGGTGTTTCCCGGAAGAAAACCTGGGTCAGAGTCAAAGAGTGAAGCAGAGATGGGCCCGAAGCCTGAAGTTGTGATCTGGTCTGGAACATCCCCAATGTCTCGGGATAGATGGATCTAGACTAGAGTTTTGGTCCAGACCCATCTCTACAACAAAGATTTGGCAAAGTTATCCTAAGAACCTGATATGATTTATTTCAGGAGGGAAGAGTTGAGAGAACATGAGTCACAAGAATCCAACTTGGAGATATATAAAGAGCGTGTGCAGATGAACGTTACATAGCACTGTGCCACCCAGACCTCCGCAGCTACACCCTGAAAATTGAGACTCATATGGCCCAATCCTGGTCCTGCTGAAATTCTGCTATTGACTTAAATGGGAGCAGGATCACGCCCATGTATAGCAGAGATGGAAAAGACCTAGTAGGTTATCTTGTCCATGCCCCCTGCCAGTGCAGGACTGATCCACACTGCACAGTCTCCTGTGCTTTGTAAAGTCTTAAATGACTCTAGCCATGTGCTTCCCCTAGGAGACTGCTCTACAGTTTAATGACCCTTAGTTTTTCCTGATATTCAATGTAATATTCCCTGCAGATTTACTAGCGTGGAACAAATTAGAAACCTCCGCCTAATCCAAGCATCCTTGGTTAAATGCCCCAATCTGGTTTAAAAAAACAACCCTGCATTGCAAGAGGCAGCCACTCAAGTAAAAACGCCTTAGACAGAAGGGCTCTCATAGAGCGACTCCAGCCTGCCACCCATCCCTCAGTTATAAATTAGACAAACTGTTATGCAAACAAACCAATTTGTTATTTCTCTATAAATTATCCTCCGCTGGTTTCCACCGAATCAGTACCAGCCAGTCAGTGTCTGTCTAGTCTTCGCAACGGTCTCTCAGGAGTCTCTTTTAGCCAGCCCCACTTTGATCCTGCACTGCAGGAAGTGAGCCGTGATGGCACTACAGGCCACCAGGCCAAAGAAAGAGGCACAGGACAGGTAGATGGAGAGGGGTCCATGTCTACTCAGGAAAATCTCCTGCCTGATCTTGTAATCCAGGAAGATGGCCTCCAGCTGCGAGAGCGTGCAAAGGGCCAAGAACATGTGGAAGATCTGATGGGCGTGGCCGATTATATCACAGGAGCCCGGGAAATACTTCTCGGGGACTGGGCAGGAGAAGAAATAAGCACTGATTAGAAAGAACAGTATCTGGAAGGTGTGGTACCAGGCAGCCTGCTCCTCGCAGCCCCCCAAATGGCACATGACCACCCGGTGTGCAACGGGGCTGATGTCCAAGACGAACGCCAGCCCTGCTGGGATCACCTGACACATCTTCCTCATGAGGGGATAGGGGCGCCGGTACCGGTACTTGGCGTAGCAGCAGCCAGCACAAGAGAGCCAGCCGCAGAAGGCAGCCGCGGGGAGGAAGAAGAGCCAGAACTTGTCGTACCAGGCTTGGTCCGCGCTGTAGTAGAAATGGGCCAGGGCGCTGCCGTATTGGTAGACGCTGACCCCAACGTAGTCCACGAAGTAGAAGGTGTAGTGAGACAGCTCCGATTTGGATTGCAGTAGGTGGGCCAAGAGGCTGCAGGTTAGGTAGGTGAGGGAGGACAGCACGAAGAGGAACAAAGGCAAGGATGAGATGTCCAAGGACAGCTCCTCTGCTTCTGCAAAGGCCTTGAACCTCAGCAACACAGCCAAGGCCGCCAGCAGGTGAGTCCAGACGTTGACCACCTCATTGTGCTTCTGGAACAGGCTGAAGAAGTAGTAGCGCCACTCCTGGCCGATGGGGCGGTACCCCGTCTGGATGTACGGCTCCCGGAAGAGCTGGGGCACGTCGGATTCTTCGACAGTGCAGGGCATCTTGGGGAAGCCTTCCTCCACGAGTCTGGGGAGGCGGCGGAGCTGCTGCCCGCTGACGGACAAGGTGCTGATACGTTCCAGGATGGCCGTCATCATGCTCCTCACGGCAGAAGGGAGTCCGCAGACGGGTAAAGCCAATCCCTCGCCCTGCAGTGAGGAGAGAAATGGGAGCAGTGAACAGCAGAATAAAGCCGGAATGGAGCCAGGGAATGTGAATCACACAATCCCAGGGTGTGTGCTGGGCGCAGCTAACAGGAGGCTATCGGCCACGCAAAGGCCTGTGCTCAGTTGGGGTTCTACACAACCTAGCGGGCCAAAACACAGCCTGAAGTAATGCCACAGCTCCGTGGACAGGACTGTCCTGATCCCGGTGGTTCCTACAGCGCCAAGCACACAGGATAACAAATAACAAGCAGCCCCTGGATTCCATCCCGTTGTCATCATCTGAGGGGGAAGCCTAAGATCTGTCATCCCCCCTCCACTGTGATTGGAGGAGCCCAGCCGGCTGGTCCCCTCCTAGGAAATAAGCACTCCCGGGACATCTCCCCCATTGCTCCCTCTGTGCTGTGCGTCCCCCACCCCACCGGAAGGGTGGCAGCAGAAGGGAGTGGGGGAAACACAGGAGATGAGAGACAAAGGACAGTCGCCCCAAAAGGGCTTGCTCTCCCCTCAGCCCCCTGTAAGGTCTCCCTCCTTCAGCCCAGTCCCTCCTCTCTCCCCGTTACCTCCCCCTCTCCCCCACCTGAGGACAGGGGAAGCCAGCAGGGAGGCAGGGTTACAGAGGCAGCCAATGGGGTACTGCAGCCTCTAGTGGCCAGTGGTGAGAACAGCAGCACTCTCCCCCTCCCTGGGCCAAGCTGCCCAGGG